GGGATTGATCCGACCTGGCAAGGGACAGGGGAGCATCCTTAAGATGTTTGCTACGGATTGAGAGATGCTGAAAAAAAAGATACAGGCTGCTCTGACAACGCAAGAGTTGGGTTTAGAAGAAGAAGAATGAATATAAATTATTATTTAACATTGTTTCTTCTAACAATGTTGTCTTTATATAAATACTGTTCTAATCTATTGTTGTGTCATGTTTTCGGCTCTATACAAGTGTCTTATCTAATATTATTATCGTTTATCAGAGCTGCAACAAGTACTTAATCAAAGAAGTTCCACTTCTTTCTTACGCGTCACATGATGAACATTTTAATTTTATTATTAAAATGACGGGTAAAAAATATTTTTTATATGTTATTTTAATAAAACCTTTTTCTAATAACGCCCAACACGGGTTCAACTGATCATAAGGGAAGGAGTTTTCACTTTTTAATAATAAAATGTATATTCAATTTGGCATCACGAAAGTAGAAATCAAAATATAATACCATGAAGTAACTAAAGGATTTCGAGTTTGATCAAACCTAATCATTTAAACATAATTTTTTTTTCCAAAAAGAGGAATGGTGCCTCTAAAGTCTTCGAACCGAAAATTCTCTCACTAAATTCATCCTTCTTCAAATTCGTCTTTACTTTTCCTGTAAGTATTTTTTATATATGTCTCCTTTCTCTACTTCCATTTTGAGGTCTTGATCTTCACCGTTTCGAATCTTAATGTGGTGTCTGCTATTCAAGCCTCCTTCACTTGTACGTTGGACGCTAAAAAATCCATTAACCTTGCTAAGCCCTCTGTACCTAAGTAAAAAAACATCTATACTTTTTTATCTTCTGCAATTCAGCTATTCCCTGATTAAAACAGTTGTGCCAATGAGTGACTATGATCAATATTGAAATGGTGAATAATCAACCTTGCTCTATTTGCAATTGCAAGTTATATTTTTAATAAATTAAAACAAAATCTTCCATGTGAACACTTTGTTTAAAAATGCTAGAAAACCACCAAACCGATACTCCTAGCCTCTACTAAATGGTCAGTAAGTTCATTAAATTACCATAGTTTTTTTCTCATATGGTTTTCCCTTATATCTATCTTTAGCTTCAAATATAAAACCAATCGTAAATCGAACATTTACTACTAGTCTGTAACATCGAATCGGCTTTTACGATTAAGTATGTCCCTCAGATAAAACCAGGAATTATTATTTTTCAAAAGTGTTTTTTTGTCGGTACCCTATATCCTCGTTAACTATTCATAATATCCAATGATTGAGCTGTAATTTTGAAATTTTCTTCTTCAGGCACAAAAATTATGCACATTTGGCAGAAAATTCAAGAAAAAACGTCTGCCAAGTGAAGCTAGTATACGTAGCTTCCCCACCATTTCTATTGGTTCCAACGCTTACCTTTCTTTTGGTTCCTCCCTTTCCTCCCCTTTAAGGCTATACGGGGTTTTCCCGGGCCAGGGGATGTAGGCGGGAATTTAAAAGACTCCCTCGGCACCGGGACGCGAACGAGTGACTATTTTTTATTAATCACTCATATTTCAAGTTGCCGGGCAACGGCGGTGCTGTGCACACACCTTAGCCCGTTCGGCCACCCCGCCCACATTTCCACGATCACCTCTGTACATCTCAAGGTTATTAATTTTTCATTTGCGAATAAAATCTTCGAGAAAAGCTGTATTCGAAAAGTAATCCCACAACATTCCCGATTTGATATCCCGTTTTGATCATCAGAGAAAATGCAAATGGAAATGAGTTTCATGGAATGGAACTGTTGCTTGTACAATGTGCACGAACACATTATATTTAATCTGTATGTTTTCAATCATAAAATACTTAGAAAAAAATCCATTGAAAAATTTTCATTATTCGTTTCTTTAACTGACATTTAACAAAACTGGCATTTTCCAACTGTAAGAACAAAATAATTTAATGTGGAGTATAAGAATATGACTGACGTTCATAAATTACAAGAAAAGAAGAACTATACATACTTATAATTTATTGATATCTATGTCTTACTCTTAACAACAAATAATTCAAAACGCTGACCCCTTATTACTTTAAAGTTTAGAACGAAAGTCGAAACTACCAAATTTAATCCTTGATGTCTGAAACGTAAAAGAGAGTGAAATTTTTCGATTCTTTGCATCAAATTTTTTTTTACTTCCCGTTCGAATATCGCTTCGGTAGTGATAATCCGTTTTACAGATCCCTTTTTATTGAATTATTAACATCAGCCTGAAACTTCGTAAATAGTTTCATCTCATCGTAAGCTACAACTATTCTATTTACGAAAACTCTTGGAATTGGGGTGTTTTCAATCTGGAGGGGGGCAAACTTTGTCTATTTAATTAGCAAATACCAATTTGCTTTCTACTTGGATCGTAAGATAATTTGATCACAAAATAGATAAAAAAAGGTGGCCTACAAAAATATTGGGGCCGTTTGTCCTATATAACCTCGTTATTTTGCAAATTTGGGGATGTAGGTCCCACTAAACGGCTGTAATTGTATCCAATTCTGAATGTTTATAAATTCACCATAAAAAAAAAAAAAAAATGTATTGAAATCGGACCATTTTTAGCAACGATACAGTCAGTTGTAAATTGCAGACATGTTTGTGTATTATTTTGAACGGACCATTGTAATCGACCAAGAAAAGGAAAATTAATTATTCTGTTTATTAATGCATTGCATTCCTCTTTTTCATATTTAATAGCCGTTTATTCATTGACCAATGCGGCGTGAGAATAATTCGCACAGGTCACCAGTTTATTTTTATTGTTAATAATTCTTTATAAAACGTTTTTTTTAAAACTATTATATCGACTGCATTTTACAAGAAGAGTCAATTTGATTTTCACACGTGTGTTACTGAAATTCTCACCTCTATTATTTTTTAGTTTTTCGTTTAATTTAATCTGTAATATTATGTTTGTTTTTCTGCATTCTGTTATCTATTATGTCAGATTCCCACTTGCAGGATGGAACATGTACCATGTTTACTTCTTAAAAAATGTAGAATAACCCTTGTGAAACGTAGATTAGACAGATAAAATTATATTTTATCGTCAAAATCTTGGCCTTTTCAGTATTCTTTTTTTACTTTCACTTACGTATATATATATAATATATAGAAAGGGTAAGTATTGCGATCGTGAAAATTTTAGAATCTGAGTTTTCAACGGAAATACACGTTTTGGTGGGGTACCCTGAGTCTAAATAACCAAATCCCGAAAAATGGTCTGTGTGAACACTCTAGCTTGAAAACGAAAAGTCTGGAATCAACTTACTCACTGTCTGTATAGATAACTTTTTCAAATAGAAATATCACTAAAATGACATTAGTAAAAAATGTTGAAATTGTAGTTAGTCATTCTATCAACTGAAAAACTCAGAGACTGAAGTTGTGTGGTTTATAGAAGTAGATGGAGTGACTACAGTTTTATTGCCTACCGTCGATATTATAAATTGACTTCTTGTAATTATAATGGTCTTAATGATTTATTATCTGCAAGCTTTGAACTTTAGCTCCGTTTGAAATGCACTTCAAACATTTTATAATAGCCCACCATTGACAGAAAATAATTTCTATTCCAAGTAGAGTGGTAAGTGAATGTTGTGTGTTGCGCGCACCAGATTTTTTATATCAAGAGTTGCTGACTTCCGGCTTATTTCTTATTGCTTTCTCGTCTCGGATTGTTGTTTATTAATAATATCGAATTGATGAGTTCTCTTAATGATTCACATTTTTGAATGATGTTTGTCCAAGACACATTAGGATAGTTATTTGGTTTCTTAAGGAATTACCTACCATCTTTATGAAAAAATAATTAATTAAAGAAATGTATTTCTATGCAATTCTGTATCATACAAATTCTAATAGACTTTAGTTTGACTTATTATAAATTTTTTTCATTTATCCGTGATTAACTATGGCTATCTAAAAATTAACTTTGGGAATTCTCACTTGACCTCCTCTAGTGGCCAATTTGAACGAATAAGAGCAATGAGCTTAATTAATTTCGATTATAAAATGGCAGACAATTATTTATCGCGTTTTGTTCTTTGAAGTCATTCAGCTGACAATTCTCGAGATATAATATCATGCTTCTCTCTATCTTTTTGTATGTTCATCGTACAAGATAAGCATTGATATGTTTAAGACATAAGAATTTTATATCTAGATGCATGTAATCTATATAAAACGTACGCTTATATATATATATATATATATATATATATATATATATATATATATATATATATATATATATATATATATATATATATAAATTTCTTTATATTCTGATTTGACACGTACCTTTACTGAAAATAAGTTATATTAAATTACAATTCTTTAATAGAAAAAACACTGTTGGAGATATTTGGTCAAGAAAATTCACCAAAAATGAGGGCATTTCCAAAGTACTTTATAGTTTTTTTAGCGTAAAATAGCATATTAGGAAATTCTGGTTTTGCTTCGTTAGGAAAATTTATTGATTGCTCTTGAGGAAATGCAGATGTTAGATGGATCATATAAATATATATTTTGTTTAGAAGGGGATATTTTGTTGCCTGTAGTTTAAAAATTATGAAGGTGGCATACAGTTAGGATTTTCAGTCTATATATAATTTATTAGGCATGGCGTCGTTTCAACCATAGCATGTGGTCATCATCAGGGGAATGGTCATTGCGACAAGAGCTTCGTTTCCTGAAATTTGTTACTCATATAATTCATTTTCATATCTTATAAAAATCGGCATTCACAAATCATGTTCATTCAGACTGTACCATCTTCCCAGTGCCATAACGAAAATATTAGAAACAGGAAGTAAAATTCTTGTATTAAAAATAACATTTTTATTTGCAGCCCCCAAAAAAATATTTTGCCTTTAAATCCTCGGTGTGAATTGCTTGTTATAAATGAATATTAAATCGTTTCTTCTCCATTTTTACTATGTCTTGGTGTTCTTTAGACAGAGCTGAGAGAGAAAAAGGACAGGGTAGAAGACGCCCTTCATGCAACAAGAGCCGCTCTGGAAGAAGGTATAGTTCCAGGAGGTGGCATTGCACTTTTGCGTTGCATCGATGAGGTCAATCGAGTCCCGGCGGAAAATGCAGACCAGAAGGCTGGTATGTGTATATTTCGTCATTATTTCGAATGATAGTGCTTGTTAATGTACTACAATGTGTTATAAAGCTAACTGAATAAAAAATCATAATTAGTTTATCATCGGAAGAATTCAGTTATAGCCTTTATCGTATTAAATGGCAGCTAAAAACTAACTGATACAGGATTCACCAATTTAGGCATCACTAGGACCGAAAACCATAATAATTTAGCATGCAATTAAGATAAGTAGTACATCTTTCTTTAACAGTGTGCTTCAGACTAAACTAATCGAACTGGCACAATGGTTAAACGTGAATTGAAGAAAAAAAAGAAGTGACATTTCATTACAAAACGTAATTTGAATTCCAAACTTGTGTTACTGAGATTCTCACCACTATTATTTTTTAGTTTTTCGTTTAATTTAATCTGTTATGTTATGTTTTTTTTTTTTTTTTTTTTTTTTGCATTCTGCTACGTATTATTTCAGATTCCCCTTGCAGGATGGAGCTCGTAACTGATTTACTTCTTAAAAAATGTAGAATAGCCCTTGTGCAACGTAGATTAGACAGATAAAATTATATTTATACAATATAAATGACAGAAACGTCATTAGAGCCATAGACTTTTACTTTCACTTACGTATATATGCAATATATAGTAAGGGTAAGTATTGCGATCTTGAAAATTTTTGAATCTGAGTTTTCAACGGAAATACAAGTTTTGGGGTACCCTGAGTCCAAATAACCAAGTCTCGAAAAAGAGTCTGTGTTCTGTGTGAATGTGAACACTCTAGCTCGAAAATGAAAAGTCGTACGAAACTGATATTACTTATTTAAGATAGTTATAAGCCTTAGATATCCTAGCAACTCTTTCCTTAAAATTGGCTAACCGGAAGTACCACTTTATATCAGCGCTGAAATACATTTTCACAATTTTCTCAAAAACGGCTCTAACGATTTTGATTAAACTCTGTATATCATTGTATTATAAAGTGCTTTTTAATATCATTTAGATCTTATCCCCGTTGATGTCACTTTACAGTAGGAAAAGCAATGGTGATATTAATGGCATGGTTGATGATCCGACAATAAAATAAACATTATTTAATTAATTTCATGATTCATCATATATTAACTGTTGGACAACAATTTATAATGTTTGATAAAGTAATTCTTTACGACTATTTTGCACTATATAAACCCAAATAAAATTCAACAGAAAATTTAAAGAATATAAATTCAACATCATAGATCCATGAATTGTATCATTTAAATATCAAAATACTTATTATTAGTCAATTCCCAATTATCAATATGCAATGTTCATATACGTCTTCGTCTAAAGTACCTTTAATATGGTTCATTTCAAATAATTAACTATCTCTCATTATTAAAAGTTACAAAAAATGCTAAATATCTTTTGAAAGAATTTGATAATTGAATAAAGGAGAAAAAAAAAAAAATGCTTATCCACTTCGAAAATGAATCTCCGGAAATATTAGTCAGAAGGTATACGTATAATATATCGTTGGAAAGCGAATAATTTTAGGAAAAGCAATATCTAATATAGAGAGTTGTAGAAGGTAACGGAAAGTGGCAAAAACATTATAATTAATAATTTTTTAAAACTAATAGTATTTAATGTAAACCATATGTTTTCAAGGAAATTAAATGAAATTTACTAACTAAATGTATTTAAGTAATTAAGTTTGTAAAATGTATTTAAAATCCACCTAATAAAGGCAGTGGCATTGTTAAAAAAATTATTTCATTCTACTTGTGTGAAAGAAGAAGTAAAATATAAAATCATTTCATGGAGAAGTATAAAGCAGAGGTTTATAACCTTAAATACATTTACTATTTTTAGTAATTATATATCTGAAATTATATTTAAATAATTAAGTATCAACGTTTATCCCAAAAAATTGTCATGTAACTATTTAGAAAATTAAATTAATGAATAATTCGATGAATTTTCCGTTTGTAAATCTCAACATTATCAAGTCTTCCACTAAATTACTTTTATTATGATTCATTTCAAATAATTAACTATCTCGCATTATTAAAAGTTACAAAAATAAACGCTAAATATAACTTTTGAAAGAATTTGATAATTGAATAAAGGTGAAGAAAAGAAAATTGCTTATCCATGTCGAAAATGAATCTATGGAAATACTAATCAGAAGGTATACGTATAATATGTCGTTGGAAAGCGGATAATTAAAAAAAAAATATATATATATATATATCTAATATAGAAAATTGTAGAAGATAATGGAGAGTTGCGAAAAAATATAAATAATAATTTCTAAAAACTAACATTATTTAACGTAAATCACATGTTTTCAAGGAAACTTTTAACATTTTTTTTTTAGTTTGAAAAGTGTTTAAATTCCAAGGATTCAAGGCAATTCCATTGGTTAAGATAGTATTCCATTGTACTTATTTGAATGAAGAAGTGAAATATAAACATATTTAATGGATACGTTTATAACCTTAAATATATTTACTGCAGTTTGCTAACTATAGATCTGGTATTATATTTAAGCAATTAAGGTATCTATCGTCCATTTATTCCGAAAAATCATTATGATTTTTAACCTTTTAGAAAATTAAATTAGTGAATAATTTGATAAATTTTCCCTTTGCGATATTCCAACAGTATTCAATTACAATTAGTGTGAAAACTTTTGACCAGTCTATGACATACAATGCAAATCTCTTAATTCCGTTTTAGTAAACTTTGCAATAGAAAATAACATTTTAACAACTAATATAATACAATATAGTACAATAATATAGTACAATCCATAATCAACAAATCGTACAATCCATAATCAATCGGTGATATATTAAATAGGACATTTGTTATTTTAATAGTATTTATGATTTGTTAGCTGTATTTTTTTAGCTTCAGCTCAGTTAAAAATGTAATTCAAAAATTTTATAATAGCCCAACATGGCCAGAAAATAATGTCTATTCAAAGTTGAGCGGTAAGTGAAAGTTGTGTGTTGCCTGCACCAGATTTTTTTTTTATGGATTATTTTTCTTTTCTTATTTTTTCACTTTTCCTTATATTAACATTATATTTTCCTTTCTCTCCTTATCGATTTATCTTATTTTTCCTCATATTTCACTTCTTTCTTTCTAATCTAATTCATACTTTCTGATAACAAATTATACAATAATGACAAAAAAACAACAAAAAAAAAAAAAAAAAACGCACGGCTGTTTCTCTTCTGATTCTTCTCTAGAAGGTCTTAACTGAAAATTGCATAATGGTAACTAAAAATGGGGTTTAGTGTGGAGAACGTGGAGATATCGCGAAGCGACGATCCTTGTTTAACCACTATAATTTCACTCATTGAGCGTTGTAAAGTCTGGAATACGTTATTCATATTTTAATGCTGGAAATTTCTGATATATCATTTTTTTTTTTGGTAGTATTTAAGCTAAGCCAGCGAATCTAACGTAAAGTTCAACGGGTGTCCCTAAAGTATATGCTCCAACGAATATTTCTTATTTTATGTATTTCTTTTATTAAAAGATGTTTCTATGAAGAATGCACTGAGAACAAATATAAACTTAAAACCTTCACTCGTTTGCTGTCTCTGATATTACCAATTCCAATGTAACGGCAAACCAATAAATTCTTTTATCATTAGCAAACCAGTTTTATCATTAGCATTATATTATTAATTTGAAATTGTATGGTTGATAATTAATGAAGTATTTTCCATGTTTAAGTTGTTGCTAAGAATATTCTATAAGGTCAGAAATTTATCCTTAATTTCATTGGTTTCAGGCATTGAAATTCTATGTAAAGCTTTGAAGACTCCTTGCATGACGATAGCCAGTAATTCCGGATTAGATGCCTCAGTTGTGGTAAACAAGGTAAAGATGGGTATTAATTAATAATTAAAAGTTAATTAATGTGAACACACTTTAAATTAATAAAATTACCGTTTTTCTTACCACTAACAACTTTTATGCTATTTTATTTTATTTTTTTTCTAGGTTTTGCAATATCAAGACGGAATGGGTTATGATGCTCGAGAAAATAGATATGTAAATATGATGGACGCGGGAATCATCGATCCTACTAAGGTGAAAATTTCATTATTATTTTGTGTACCCGGAATAAAAAATGGATATGTCCAATAATTTTAAATTCGTGTTGACGGAACTGACCATAATAATAAATCAGGCTACAGTGAGTATACATTAATTTCCAAAAGGGCCAATCTGTGTTTCCAGTGACCAATACAGAAAATGTGTATGTGTCAAAAATAGTTAATATGAAAGTATTTTTGTCTGCTGAACACGAAAATCGCCTTGAAGAAGTGTAATATATGTTTTGGAGTTATAGGTAAAATTGACGGTTCTTGCTCTTCAGTAGTTAAGTCTCTCAAGCGCTAAACAGTGAAGTTTATTAGATAGACACATCCATATTTTACAGAAGTAACTTCCATTTTTAAAAATGAACCTTTGATCGATCCGTAAACTCTCTCTCTCTCATGTCTCCCTCTTTTCCAGTTTTAATTTAATAAAGGCAAATAACTCTTAATGAGTTCAAAATAGGCAACATTCAACTTATTGGCAACATTCGACTTATTTATGCATTGGACTGTATTTTGATAAAGTGGTAGGTCATATGAATTGTGCAAATTGACTCATCCTTTTATGCTGGCACAGACATCATACTTAACTGCGGGCGCCCTCTAGTCTGCTAGTTCTTGTCTTTGTGGATACCTCTGATGGAGTGGGGCAAGTGATATTGGTAGCTGGTTCTGCTTAAATTTTATCTTTTAGGTCTTATCTGATCTGCCCCCACCACTAGCCGCAACGAGACAATCGGACACAATAGATTTGCACAAAACACTCTCCGTCACACATTAAACTGGAATTTACGAAAAACTATAAATCTTCAAGTACTTCTTTTTCTGATTGCGACCGTCACTACTTCCTTCGGCCATTTGGCGTATCTGAGAGCAGGGCTTTCCTCTTCTCCCCAATCATTCAAAGTACTCCCAATATTCTACGCCATCCTATCGGTCTTAGTTTTTTTGGCCTGGCCTGTTAGTTCCACTTTGGAGTTACTTATCAATAGGTTATTATCCGAACAAAAATCTATTAAATACTTAAGAGGGAAAATCCTCAAATTATGATACCGAACTCAAGGATGGAATGTTCTTCGAATTTCAAATTCGTGGTATTTTTTAATCGAATATTATAGCGAAAAGAAAAGGCAGATTGGGTAGCGTTTAGTTGGTCAAAACAGTGTTCGAAGAAGTATGTATTGCGATATATCTCTAAAATACATTATCTCCACTCACACTTAAATTATTTCTCAGGAAATTGTGAAGCTAGAAGTGATGAGTACAGGCAGAGATTGTACCAAAATATTTTTTTCGATAGTACAGAGGTATCAGGGCAATTAGCATGAAAGAAGCTTGCAGACTATTACTGAAAATAATTACAAATATTTTTCGGACATCTCGCAGGATGCCGTGTGTTTTCGATGGGAAGTAAAAGTAATTTGATTGATCCTCTAGGTTTCACAACATTTATCAATAGAAACAATGTGTGTCTGCAGAGTCTGTGGTGGTGCTCAGGGTCATTGAACATGGAAAAAATAATTGCAGATTTTAATTGGTTATTTTCCATAATAACTTCATATTACCCTAGATAATAATAGTAGATATTATAAACAGTTAATATTGTGTCTTTCATTAACTATAGTATTATATTAATATATTAAAAAATAAATACTCTCTCTAGGTTGTGAAAACAGCTCTCCAAGACGCTGCATCTGCCGCTTCACTACTGATGACAGCAGAAGCCGCTGTAACATTTATTATAGAAGGAGATGAAATTATTCTCTGATTGAATATTTCAATGCCTCTGCTTTAGTGTCTAAAATTTGTTCATAACATTTTATATTGAAAAATAATGGCGAAATTATAAATAAACGTTATGCTAAAACTATTTTAATTTTTTTAAATATTTACTGTACTCCAAATAGAAAAAATAACAACCAAAACGTATAGTTCTAAGTAACAATACCAACGCGGTACATCATTTAATGTGGAAAAAACTTTTTCGGTTATATAGTTTCAACTGAAGAGTTGTAGATTTTTTTTTTTTTTTTGTAGATGAAAATATTTCTCATCGGTGATAAAAAGTAGATTAATTCTTCATTGTCTTATATATTCTTTAACACTGAAGCTTTCGAATCTCCTCAGCAACATTCCTAGGTAAACATTGTCGAATGCTGTGTTAATATCAAAAGAAACTAGTATAGTAGCCATATGTTCGACCATCAATATACGCACTTTATTTTTTTTCAAAGTTTATTCTTCTTCTTCTTTCCCGGGACTAGCCCATCAATTGGCCTTGGCATACTTGATTCCGCCAGCCTTCCAGTTCTGGGATTTTAACAGATTTCTGGAGTCCTCAATAACCACATCCAGCCATAGTATCCTTGGGCGTTCTACTCTTCTTGTACGCTGTACTATTTCTTCCACCACTCTTCTGGGTATTTCTGTATCTGTCGTTCTGGCCACATGTCCTTCCTAGCGTAGCTTACCGAGTTTTATCACCCAAACGACATCTGGGTTCTGAAATAAATTTGTTAGCTCCACATTCGCGCCTGGAGCGCTTTCTCCAGGTATCCCTCTCTCTTTTAAGTCCATATATTCTCTATAAATTCTTTCTTTCACACGTCAGAAGCAGTTTTTCTTCAGTTTTCGTAACGGTACAGACTTCTGAACCGTATGTGAGCATCTTGTAAAGGATCACTTTTGTTTTTACGAGATAAGTTTGCTTCTTAAATGCTGGCAGATTCCGAAGTAATATTTATTTGCCTGAGCTACCCTCTCCTTGAACTTCATTGAGAAATCGCTATCAATCATGACAATGGTACCCAGGTAGGTAAAGAAGCTTACTCTTTAAAGCTTCCTATATCCCCAAAGCCAGTTTGTTCTTCCGGTCCTTCTGCGTGCATGTAATTTGTTTTGGACTCAATCAATACTAATCCCATCTTCTCTGCAGCTCTGATCAAGTTAAGGAATGCATTTTTCATTTCATTAAAATACCTTCCTATGATGTCAACATATCTGCATAGGCCAATAAGTTCGTGCATTTAAGTTTATTCTACCTACTTTATTTTACTTTAAGTTCATTCTATCTACATGTTTTTTAGACTATACCTTTCACGTATATATTATTATTTTCTTTTTAATGTTAATAGTTTCTCATACTACTGTTATCTGGTTTTTCCTAGCCCTGAACTTTGGGTCGACAAGTTGGCAAAAAATAAATATAATCGTCTTTTTTTATATTTTTGCTTCCTCACTACCGAAGGTACAGACATTAAGGATCAAATTTGGTTCGGTGTCTCTGTCTGTCTGTCTGTATATAGTCAAATTGATGTAACGGGCATAATGTGTTATTTGATATGTCTATAGTTTGAAAAGGGTGCATTCGATTTGACTCAAACTTGGAAGAAATTAGGAGAACAGTATAGAAATTACTTATGTATCAATTTAATTCAATTCCATTTAATAATTAAAATTAATATAAATAATTTTTAACAATATAATGGCTGTGAAATGTGGAAGGTACTGATCATATGGAGTGGGAGTTAGGTTATTACAATATTGTTACTGGGTTATACAATTTTAGGTTTTATTAAGAAAATTAGTTTATACTGTATTGTTGTTTGGTAGATTCCAATCGTTACTGTCGTTTCTTAGATTTCGTGTAATTTTTAGTAAATGTAAAGTAATTTTTACTCAGAATTTGTAAAATATAGCAGATGATATTATTATGAAAAATAACAGAGGGCAATAAAATATAAAAATATACTAATAAATCATAAAGAAATAATTAGTTTTCTATTATTAACACTCAATTTTTACATACGTCATTTGCACTAACAACGAGATACATATTCAATATGCACTGGAATTTTGTTTTTAATTACGAATTATCTAATATGCAATATGCAAATGCTAAACTTTTTAGCATTTTAGTATTTGCTGATAAACAAAACTCTTGGGTTATCAAGTTCGTATATGTTGAGGGATTACTGAATTTCCAAAAACAGCTTCTTCCAGAGATTTTATTCTCATAAGAAGATTTTTAGACCTTCCTATGTAGATATTTTTTAGCAAATGAAAACGGTGAGGAAGCTATACTGACCTTACTTGGCAGACGTTTATTTTACTGAATACTTCAACCAATTATTCACAGCAGTCAAACATCAATCCATAATTTCTCTTAGTGTTTTTGCTAGGCCTATTTTTTTACTGTAGTTTTCAAATTGGGGCATACCACCAAAAGGTTTTTCGCAGTTTGAGATGTATTATTATATTTTTCGCAAGTGGGCGCTTCGAGACCTCTTAAAATGTAAACTGGCAATGCCCAATCCTAAGACGGAGCAGCATAATTTCTTCTCTCCTCGAACTTGTGGTGATAGTGAGCAATTTATCAAAATCAGGTTTCATTTCTTTCACTTTAACTTTTTGATTTTTCATTCCTTTTCCCACTCCGCCTTGTGTTTTCTTTGTGTACCCAGACTTCTTAAGTAACATCTTTCAGTGGGCGGGGTAGCCGAATGGGCTAACGCGTGTCCCCAGCTCCGCCGTTGCCCGGCAACCTGATATATTAATCAAATGATATAAGATAGTCACGAGTTTGTGTCCCGGTGCCAAGGGAGTCTTTTAAATCCCCGCCCACACTCCCTGGCCCGGGAAAACCCCGTCTAACCTTAACGGCGAGGAAGGGGAGGACACAAAAAAAAAAAAAAAAAAAAAAAAAAAGAAGTAACATCTTTCAATCACACAACATTACCGCTTCTTCTTCACTTCTTGCCAAATGTTCAGCTTTTTCGTTTCCTAAAATGCCGCAGTGAGCTGTTGCACAAATGAAGACTACTGACATCACTTTATTTTTTACTTCCTTTCATACATTTATTATTTCACAAATTATATAATTTCTTAGGTATGGATTATCGATGGAAGCTAAAAAAATCCATGAGTCCGCCACTACTACCCAGCAGTTCTTTTTAGAATTGGATAGTTTATTTATTTTTAACTATGGTTCCATCTCACCTACATGGTTGATAAACCCTATCGATGTTTATATCTACAATAACTTATAGTTATTAAGTAGTCATTATTATTACAATTGTTACGTATTCAGAGCGTTCTTAATGTCTTAAATGATTTATTCACTTATTTTTCCGTAACTATTATTTGCTGATCGCTGGAAATGGTAGACAACCTTGCTGGAAATACTTTCTTATTTAAGTTAACGAAATTTTCCTCGGGACTTTAAAGACGTGGAAGTTTGAATATACTAAGATAAAAACTCAATAAAGTTTTAGTCGTCCTACCTTCGTACACCCTCCTATTCCTGCCAAATATTGCAAAGTGAAAACACCTACCCTTGGAAATTCTGTGAAAAATTAGCGATGTATTCGCTCTATTCTTGCCGATTAATTATAGTAAGATGAATCAAATCATTCATTTAGAACCGAGGTAGATTTAGGGAGTACATTGATTTACTTACTTGTTATAGTGAACAAGTCAGGCTCAAATCCTGAACTAGTTTTATAAATTTTCCCTTGACAAAAAGTTCGATTTGTGATATTCGGATCTTTTTGCGGACTTCTGTGTCTACTCAACACTAAAAAGGCTTGTATATGTTGCATTAATACTATCCACACAATCTCCCAAGATCACACACTGGTTTATTCCTTCTTTGTATAACTATATTATATAATTATTTAGAAAGCTATTTTCAGGTAAATCTCTTTTTGTGTAGCGTGTTATAAAATATTTGTTCAATGTTTTTACTTACTTAATTATGGTAACTGATGAAATGATTTATTATCTTTGAACCTTTAGTCAACGATTAAAAAAAAAATAAAATAGAGCCCAGACATGCAAAATTGATATCTGAATAGGCTCCATCGGTCAAAACATTTTATAATTCTTGCTGAAGTCAGCAAACCTCTTTATCTACGACTAATGATTATTTTCCATTTTTTTTTAAATTTACTTTTAATATGAAAGTATCGTCATTTTATTACAAAAAGGCTCTGAGTACCTTTTTCATATAGGTCAACTTGTTTATCTGAATTTGTTACCTATAAAAACACAATGCAAGTTCATGAAAATTACATAAACCTTGTTATTTTACAATACATATTTACATAATTTTTTTTTTTATTTCACAGAGGGAAAATTAATCAAATTTCATAATTAGTTGTGGTTATGAAATGCCACTTAATGTTTTCTTTTTTTTTTTTCAATAAACCAACGATATACTGTCTATTAAATATACTCTAGTGTGCTCTTGCTAAAATCTCGCATTAAATATCTATCCTTTCTTCTCTTTAATACATTGTAATTATAAGAGATATTAAAGAAAAATGTTTATTCATACTCTCAGTATAATGTTATAAATAAGATTTTATTTAGTCCTCTCAGAGGATTTTCCTGAGCTAGGGGAGAGGACGGGGATTAATGCCAGAGTTAAAAGCCCCTCCTTGGCACTGGGACGCGATCTCGGTATTATTTTATCACTTAATCTTCGACCCGGGTTGCCATTCAATCCTGTGTTAATTGGTGCTGTGCACACGCGTTAGCCTGCCCGGCCACCCCACTCTTCTTATAAAGAAGATCTATACAACACAATTGGTGATTCTACATCTATGATAATCACTTTGTTTGCTTAATAGATAATGGGTTTTCTCCACTGAAAAATACCCTCTCAGTCTAACAGTTAAGCAATAAGATCCTGCAATATGAGAACGGTACTCACTCAGACTTAGTGCAGATGAGCAAGATCTTAGTTTGTAATTCTCTCTCTTATTGGAAGGGGAATATCGTCGGTTTTTTGTATAAAATAACTAATTGATATTTTTGCTTACGAGAAATAAATAATTTTGTGTATAATATGTAACGCTTAAATAGGTT